GAGAGAGAGAGAGAGTGTGTGTGTGTGTGTGTGTGTGTGTGTGTGTGTGTGTGTGTGTGTGTAGAAAGGGAGCAGGAACACGATGGTTAGGGAGAGTGGGGGTGTGCAGAACAGGAGGAGGGAAGCCTAAATTCCCTTAAAATCTTCTAGAATGTGGGACGTTGAACATGGGCCCGACCCTCTCTTCACATTATTTGCTTTCCCACAGCTCCCCAACTCACCCTCCTCTTGTTCAGCTGTCAATGGGCCTCCGAGAGCAAGAGAGAAGCAATTCCACAAACACCATTGTCTTTCACAAACACACTGTCTTTCAAAACCTCCAACATCTGACAGGGCTTTGCCAGCTCTGTGCTCTCTGAGTGACTGAACAGCTTTGCCTCCTACCGCTGGTATTCCGGGCAGGAAACAGGTAGGTTCACGGACTGAAGCAATGCAGCTTGTTAGACTGCAGGTGCCAGTGTTTGACAAGTTGTTGACCATTAGTCCTAATGGCCTGTTAGATATTTGCCTTTGGCTTCCACACAGCATTCCTGTCATATCATTTACAAGAACTCAAGCAATCCTGCTTCATACTGAGGCCCTGCCGTATGCATAGTACATTGAGAATACAAAGCAAAACTGGTTTATAGTGTACTGGCAAATAAGGAAACTGCATGTGGAGGGAGAGCAAGTCCCATGTGAATTCAGGGCGATGTACAAATTGCAGTTCCACTCATCACAAACCATCTCTGACCACAGCGCAGCTGTTCGGGGAGAAAAATGGCTTTGCTGCTCGAGGGTTACACCAGACAATAGGAAAGAATCAGTGAGAACACCACACCTAACTGAGAAGCTTTTAAGCCCATCATCACGGCAGCTGTTCAAAGCTCCCTGGAGCCCTCCAAGCACATGGGGGAGGCAGACTGGATGAAATCCATGTCCTTTCACCTGGGCTCATGTCCAGCCCCAAAATAGTTCTTGTGCCAAGTCCAAAAAAAAGATCACATGAGAGGGGGGAAAAAGTAAAGCAAATGATTTTCCTTATTTTCTTAGCTTGTCCTACGTGGGTGCTAGTATAGAGACCTGAGCTTCCAGGGGCTTCACTACCTCAGGGTCCCACCTCAACCTGCTCAGTAATGGATGCCAGATTTTGACTGGGACCCGACAGCAATCTGGATTTGTTAGTGAGCTTGGTGATACTATTTTCACTTGGAGCCCTTTTTTGGTGAGCTTTTCTGTGTGTCTCTCCCTTCAGGATCCTCTTGGCCTTCAGTGAAGAAGACCGATCTGGGAAAGGGCCCCCCCTGTCCCAACACAACACCTAACCGCCCCATAGGCAGGTCAACAGCATCGCCTCCTTTAGGGAAACTCTCTTCCTTAACTGTTGCAAGGAACTCCCTTCCTCCCACAGCTCCAGCCCTGTTGCTCCTACTTTTCAACAGTGTGTGCTGACCAGAGCAGAAAACAGCCTGAAAGTGCCTGAGCCTGAGAACCAAGGTGAGTGTTACAGGACCTCAGTCCCCTTAGGGGGCTTCTGAACTCTTGGGTTCCCTACAGGGCATCCTGCGTTGGCACAACAGTGGGGAAGCTTCCCAGTAGTTTTGATGTTTGGTTCCCCCTCTCAGATGATCTGCAATGTGTTTTTTGTGATTTTTGAACTCTCACTGAAGCTGGGCTGGCTGTGTATTGCAGGGGGAACAATCAGGGTTTTTCTTGATCTCCGTGCTTCGAGTCCTGAGTCACATTTGCTCCGCTGCAGCAGAAAACTAGGATTTCTAAGGGGGCTGGGGCTTGAGAAGGGGGATTTCTTCATTTCATTTTTGTTTCCAGGTTGTATTTGACTGAATTACACTTCCTGAGCCATTTGACCATTATAGCTCCAAGGAGAATATGAAGCCAAGCCCTATTACGTGGGGGACGCTGTATGTGTCATTTTAAACAGTTCTGCAGGAAACCTATGTTAGGTGAAATGGTTTCTGTTATTGCTTCTTCCTGGTTTTGTGTTGGGGGTGGGGAGGGAGAGAAAGCTAGGGGGTGGCAGAACCACATACCCCGTGTGTTTGTGTGAGAAAGAGAGAACAGGCAGTCACACCCACGGCTTCCTGGAGGGTGAAAGTGGCTCTTTCGTTAAGTGTTTACTGTATTTCCAAAGAGCCCAATAAAAAAGTACAGTATTTATGGGGTGCAGAGAAGCGTCCATGTGGCTGAGCATGTCAGGAGGAGGGTTTATTACTGATGCCTAGGGCAGGAGTTAGCCACAGGGAAGGGTAAAATAGTCCTGCAGTGCAGTGAGGGTTTTGCAATGTGTCGGAATAGAGGAGGCTGAGGGGAGTGATGCTAAATGTAAATTCTTTATGCACATGCACACATACACGTGCAAACACACCCATGCTTTATGTACCTTGTGGTATAGACAGGTAGTAAGAAGGCAGTATAGAACGGGAGCTTTCTAATAGCTTAGGACAAGTTATTTCTGACCTTACTGACTGTCTGCCATTGATTGACAGTACACAGGCTGCTCGCTGTGCTCAGAACTCTATGCTGGTGAATATTTGCCTGTCCTACACTGGTGAATGCTGTTGCTGTTTGCTGTTAAATGGCTGCTATATTCCACCCCAGAGGTGGCTGTACTTCAGGAGTAGAGGAAATTATGCCTGAATACAGTGTACAGAGTTAATAATATCTGCAAAACAATTTGGGATGAATAGTGCTGTACTACATTATTATTGTAGGGGCAGAACCAGAAGTTCTCACTCAGTCAAATCTCCCATTGTGGTCAAGGGGTATGGTAAGAACAGAGTAAAAGTTAAGAAAGGACTCCAGGATTTGGCAACAGTCCTAAGCGAATGAATCGGTTTCTTGTGTTAACCTGAGTAACTGCCTATGCTCTGCTACTGATAACACCTGTAAGATGAAGCTGAGAGCTGAAGAGATGAACAGATGCCAGGGCAGGGAAAGAAGGTTTATACCATCTACATTCAGTGCTAATACATTTTTAAACAGCATTTAATTAAAACAGATTAGCTAACACTTTTGTTAGTCTACAGAAAGGCATCAGTGTATTTCCAGCTAGGACTGGATTTCCAAATACTTAGGCCATGATCACACAAGGAATAAAGGTATATTTTAACCAGGTGTTGGCTAACAGTTGTTAACTAACACACACTGAAATCCTAGTGTAGGCAAAGCAAGGTGTAATTTTAACGTGTTAGTTGGTCAAAACCCCTTAACCAGCTAACCTGTTAAAACTACCGTTTGCCTTGGCTATAGTAGGATTTAAACATGTTAGCACACACATTTTCCCTAGGGGAGGGGAGGCCATAGAGAACAGCAGCTTTCATGGAATTTCCACTGGGGCTAGACATGCTATTGTTCTCCTGAGGAAGCTTATCCCCTTGGTTTCAGAGTAGCAGCCGTGTTAGTCTGTATCCGCAAAAAGAAGAACAGGAGTACTTGTGGCACCTTAGAGACTAACAAATTTATTAGAGCATAAGCTTTCGTGGACTACAGCCCACTTCTGTATGTATGGATGCACTTATGCATCCGAAGAAGTGGGCTGTAGTCCACGAAAGCTTATGCTCTAATAAATTTGTTAGTCTCTAAGGTGCCACAAGTACTCCTGTTCTTCTTTATCCC